TGCTGCCCCGTGTGTCCTGTCAGCCAGGTCTTTTGCGGTGATTCTAGGCTTCCTTCAATCTCGCAGCAGATTTGTCATACATCATGTTGTCTGTTCCGTTTCAGTCTTGGTTATTTTCCCCACGAACGATTACAACATCTCCTTTCGGCTTACTTTACTTTCAATGTTTACATTGAGCTTACACTTGGGACTAGGACAGCGTACTCGACTCTTGCTCAGATCAGTGGGAGTTTCGTTGTCTAAGAGGCGGTCACCCCGGTGACCCTTTCAATGTTGCTATGATCTTGATTACTGACTGCTAGTTGCCTTTCGCATAGGCCACTGCACGCAATTCTGCAGTAGCTGACCGTTTCCGATCTCGCGGCCTTAACGTCTCCGATACGCCGGTCAAGCCGTTATCACACCAGCCATACAAATAGGGGATGAAGGCAGGAATTGGGAAATTCAGTAACTGTGTAGACGCTTTATAAGCTCCAGTGATAAGCACGACAAGTCCCGCTGCAGAGCAAGAACCCACTGCTCTGACAACGAAACATATCAAACAGAACTGAATTATTTGTTCAGACTGTTTTCCCAGAATGGGTATCCTAGATATTTTGTACACCGATGCATGCGACGACAGGAGTTAAAAAAAGATAAGGAACTAGATTGATCCGATCAGGCGCCCAAACCTAAAAACTGGCGAACACTTCCATACATTAAGAATGTGTCCGAACTAGTTGAAAGACACCTGAGGAAGCACCAGATACATGTGGCGCACAAACCGACGACTACACTTCGTAACCAGCTTGTACACCCTAAGGATAGGGTTGGCTATTTAGATAAGAAGGAAGTCGCCTATAAGATACCATGCAACACCTGTAATGCGGTTTACTGTGGTCAAACCGGGAAATCGGCCTCTACACGAATACACGAACATCAGTTGGCCGTAAAAAGGCGAGACTACATGTCCCAAGTTGCCATGCATACGTTAGAAACCGGACACAAATTCGCCTGGGACAGGACCCGCATTGTAGGTGTCTGTTCATCTAAAAAGGGCCGTGAATTCTTAGAGGCCATCCATTCTGACAACGCATGCATCAATAGACACATAGAATTGGATACGGTGTACAACAGCCTCAAGGAAAAGTGGAAAAGGCATTAGCCAATCAGAGCAAGACACCAGCAGGAATGACAAAGCAAACTCGATTTTTCGGCATGTTTAAATGTTGACTGTTTTGCACACTTATTCCACGTATGAAGACGACTTGGGGAACCAAGATCGAAAATTTACAATAAACCTTGTTAATCTTTCCCAAAGAGCTTATTTCTTTCGAAGCATGTATATATTTCAGAAATTATTATGCGCAGGACATGAATTTAAGTGTTCGGGGCATGACTTTTAGTGTCAGACCTGGAATGTCAATGAATAATTGAGTCGAAGACAATCAACTCCTGCATCGGGAATGAGGTATAACCCTATGTCATGTAAAATCGCACTGTTAGTAGTTCTACTTGCAGGTAAAACGGACATTACGCGTCTATCCCACATTAGTTGATTTTCTTCGCCTCAAATGCTTATCGGCATTTCTAACCTGACCCTAGAACTCATGTCTCTGACACTCAACTCCATCTACAGCACTAAATACTCCTTAGATTATTAGATTAATTATTCTCCGGAGTTCACATAACAGAAACCGCATAGAGAACGTTTGGGGGGACTCACTGAGAAGCCGAACCCCTCACAGCTGCGTCATCCAGCACCGGAAACGTTGGCAAAACATGTGTTTGGGCTTTTAACTAGTACCTATATCGAGAGTATGATATAACCATCTGTGATACCGACAAAGACAAGAGAGACCGGAATGGCCATTTCTGACCTATTAGCAGTCACCAGTCAGTCATACCCAACCCCAAGAATGGATCATTTGAGATTCGAACCCAAGATTTTTAGTCATGCAGGTTGGCACTCTACCACTGAGTCACGGGCCCGTTGTCCTGTTCATTGAAATTTCGGGTACGAGTCTAAAAAGTCATGCCCCGGGCACTTAACCCAATGTCCTAGACTTAAGTTTCTGAAATTGTTACCTTTATATATGCATATATGTTCAATCGGGAATGGGCACCCACCGATCTATTGGCTTCACAAAGCAAACAAGCTCCGTATGGGTGGCAAAGATCACGGACAGGCAACCAATTACCAGGCCGAAGTCGGCCAAGTCATAATAGCAGCAAGGAGGGACGACAGAGAATTCGGGTAGGTTGATACAGTACTGCTTCGGGCTTAATCGGCCTTCATTCAGCCAATCATAGCCCTGACCACCAGCAGCTGGGACCAGAAACACCAATATGCGAAGAGACGCACCTGACGCAGTTAGTCCACCACTGGGGTCTACCAGATGGGTCATAAGCACTTCATCGAACCGAAGTTCATCAGTGCCTCGTCACCTGTCATTCTCTGCCGCCATCGTGACTTGGCCGACTTCGGCCTGATAGTTGGTTGCCTGTTCGTGACCTTTGCCACCCATACGGGGCTTGTTTGCTTCGTGAAGCCAATAGATCGGTGTGCTCCCACTCCCGATTCAATAAATGCGCGATTTCCAACGACATAGAATGACAGGTGGCGAGGCACTGATGAAATTCGGTTCGATAAAGTGCTTATGGCCCATCTGGTAGACCCCAGTGGTGGACTAACTGCGCCAGGTGCGTCTGTTCGCATGTTTGTGTTTCTGATTCCAGCTGCTGGTCAGGGTTATGATTGACTGAATGAAGGCAGATTAAGCCCGAAGCAGTACTGTATCAATCTACCCGAATTCTCTGTCGTCCCGCCTAGCTGCTATACATATATGTATATGAAAAAGAGTTGTACTCGTGAATTTTCCAGTTGGTGACACCAGCCCGTCGTCAGACGAAGTGAACGGAGGAAAAGGTGAGATCGGCAGATTAAACCGATTGGCGCGACAGCGACAGACTGTGTGTGATGGAGGTGGCCATTTAATTGCGGCAAGTTTTCTAGTGTGGGAGGGCAGGGAGAACTGTTACGACCCCTGTATTGAAGAGGTACGGAGATGGCGTGTCAATGGGAATGCGGGTGGCTAGATTAGTGGTCGTTGATGTGGCATGAGGTCAGGAGTCAGTGCGCCGAAGTTAGTGCTAGGAGTTTCGGTTATGGTTCGACGTGTCGGAGGGAGGTGTGGCGAGACAGTGAGATTTTACGTGACCGGGTAGGGATTAGCAGTTGTTTGAGCTTGGGCACAAATCAGTGAGCTGCGCACGTAAACCCTCGCCATGTGAGTGCTTAGATCGATATGATGTTTGGTGTTGGAATGCCAAGCCTCGCGGAATTCTCGCGCCACACACATCAGCCGTCTGTCGCTGTCTGTCCTGTAGGGCCAATTGGTCTAGTCTGCCGACCTCACTTTTTCTTCTGTTCATTTCATCTGACAACGGGTTGGTCTCACCAACTGGAAAATTAACGTGCACAAGTCTATTCTCCGAAGAACCCTCCCTCTTTCATTATATCATCTCGGAATGCACACCATACTAGTTATTCAACATATACATTACGTGACATGTCCTATGAAACCTGCAGGTCACCTCCCCGCTTGTGTAGGTAGACAGACTTGTTCCTGCCAGTGCGGTGTAAGTTTATTTCATATTGACCCAACTTTGAAAAACTCAGCGTCTCGGTGGGATTCGAACCCACAATAGTAAGAGGAAGGCTTTAGTACAGCCAATGCTCCAACAACCTGAGCTACGAGGCTCCGCCAGATAACGTGAGTTTAATCACATTTGGGTCAGGTTTATTTATCAGCCGAGGGCCGTCGTAATTATAGAGTTCGTGGGGATCGCGTCGGATCCCGCTGAACAGTTCTTGCACGCTTCTGGTGGTTTCTGGAAGAGAAGGCGGAAGGTTCGGATAGGTGTTTGTTTAAACTTGGAGCAGTCAGTCGATGGCGGAATCGGAGATCGTGGACGGACGGTTATGGACGGCTCTTATGTGCTCACTCCAACGCTTCAGAGCCTGTTACTTCATCGTAAAGAATGTTGTTCCGTCGGAGATGATAAGCGGCCCGGCTCTGACGGTGCTGTCGTAGACCACTTTGCTTAATGCGAATAAGTTCTTCTCATTATGGCCAGCGTAGCCCCGGATTTCATCGGCCTTGCGATCCATCTGAGCATTTCCCCTCTGCCGCAATCGCTGCTTAATCAAACGGCAACATCGGAAGAAGGCCATCTTGTTTACATCAGTTTCGCGGTTAAGGTAGGCTATGTACAGTCCACTCCTCAAGCAGGTTGCGGATTTCCTAGTTTTTGTCTTCAAACCACTGCTCTTTATGACAGCATGCGTGGCAAAGGACTTCCAGGACACTGGAGTGGATGACGTTCCGCAGTTGGTGTCACTGTGCCTCCACTGTGGCGTTTCTGTCTGGAGTCTCCAGCTCTTACATGCGATGGTCCAGGTGATCGCTCAAATCAAAGCGGTGGGTGGGTATATTCAACAAAGAATTATTTAGCCTATCTGGTGTTCGTTTAGTTGTAATCGACTGTACGGTTTCAGTCGAAGCCTCGTATTTGGGATGGTATGGCGGTGATCCGCCCAACGGTCGATGCTATATCCGGCACATCCTGTAGATCTCGGCTCCGGACGAGAACGTAAATCAGCATCTGGGAGCGCCGAGATCGGAGTACATTTAGGTTGCCTTCACTCGCGTCGGAAGGCGCATGAAGGTGTGGTAAGATGTGGCTGTGTAGCCCCACCTGATGGACACAACACGGATGGGGTTGGGGTTAGGGGTGAGGTAGTATGGTAAGGAGTTAGGGTTGTTGGTTAGGGTTATGGGTTAGGGCAACTATTTCTCAACCACTCAAAGTACAATCGCGCATTCCCAATAGCCTTTCTTTTGCAAACAACTACTTGGCTTCGTCTCCTGTGTGTTCCCCGGCCCCACCTGTAAAAATCCCCTACTACCACCGGTCCCGTATTACAGTTGGCTGGGGTTTGGCTACTTAAGTTGGGGCTACATAACCACATCTGACCGAAGGGGACTGTGTTCTGCGCAGCTTTGCAGTAGAAGGAGGAGGAGGAGGGGGAGGGGGAGGTTGTTTTCGCAGTCGCCAGTTCCGTGGGGATCGGGCACTCCCCTCCCCAGCAACACGGTTTGTCTATAGGCGGACACTGAAGTCACCAAGACGACCAACTTGTCCGCCTTCGGCACAGACGCTAGGACTGCGTGTAGCTCTTCGTAGAACTTGTTCCCCATCTCGTAGGGTTCGTTCATTGCGGGAGCTTCGGCGCTGATGGTGGTAGCGAACTTGGCTCCCGAAGAGGCAACCGCAGGATCGTGAGCCGGTTGTTGATGCCCTGCGGCAGACGGGGAAGTCGTCCGGATGGCAAAGTCGACGCCAGCGTCGATTCGCTCTCCTTTTGGGCAGTCGTTCCAGAAGATGGTGTAATCATCACTAGCCTCCTCAAGCTGACCCTAACCAGAGAGGCGGATCTTGAGGAGAACGACGATGTCCACCTCGAGGCGGGTGAATTCTCGAGCAATTGAAGCAGTCATCCTTTCCGACCAGGTGCCCCGCGGACTATCTAGAAGACACATAACACTACAGACTGCCAGGGTGAGAAGAGTCCCTCTAGTAGCCAAACATTTAGGATTTCCAAACTTCACTCCGTATACTTTCTGTGTCAAGAAAGTCAAACTTTCTCTATAGGCTATTACGAGGAGGTCATTCAGGGCTCATAAAATTTTGTAATGAATGTGGACTATGTTGTTCAATTTTTGAGCAGCATTAATATATGTGCTGGTGCCATGCATCTCATAGTCTTGAAAAATCTCGTAACTGGAAACTTTTTAAAACCAAATGATACTCTTCCTTCGAGTACAAAGTTTGGAGATGACGCACTGTGCTACCAAATGACCAAAAGAAAGAATATTTTATGCGTGTTTTCCATGAAATATATCCGAATTTTCAAGGACATCGAAAATCAATGGGGAAAATTCCTACTACTAAGACCAATAAAAAGCTCTTTTGAAAGCCGGCGTCCTGACATGACTGGGATATGTTGGCATTATGCAATAAGTTAAATAACATGACAAACCTATTTAAGCAATCTTTTCGAACAGAAAACGTATTTCGGAATTTCAGACAACATCCCATGGGACAGCACACCTACTGCAGGTACTTGCCAAGAGCCCGTGTTGGTCCGTAGCAGTTTTCATCGGCAAAGACTGGTGCGTATGTTCCATAAGACATACCTGATCGCTGCTACATCCTTGTCGCTGCTGTCTCTGTCATGTGGTAGTTTTTTTAACCTAACACGACGATAAGCTTGTTTGTGCATGCGCCCATACTGAGTACAACTCTTTCATGACGTAAACAGACTATACTTGGATCGGATGATGAAAAGCGCGACAACGACGCCATATTAGGCGCCCGTGTGAGTCCGCCTGACTCCTGGATACGATCAAATTTGGTGCAGCCGCACTTACGCCTACGCCTGCGGTGAAAGGCGTAAAGAGAAACACGCGCAATCGTCTGCTCGCTCTCTGCACGCAAATCTTCCTCCACGCTTGGCACACGATCCAATGATAGTGCGTGTGTGTGGGCGCGCCCCCCAAACGAGCCACGTGGTAGATGCGCGGGAGCAACACGGGGACAGTATCGGATTCTGGCAGGCTTTACTGAGAATGCCCACCACAACAAATGCCAACGTTTCGGGTTGCAGTGGCAGACCCGGTTGTCGGCAGACATCGTGCACCCTGGAACCCCCTGCCACCCATCCCATTGTTGTTGTTGTTGTTGGTTAAAAAGCCGGTTGTTTGCTGTGTGGACCAGGGGGTGTGGAGTGGTGCGTCAAGATGCGGGCTCGAACGTGCCACCCACCTTCACCCTCTCTCACCTCCGGTCTTCTTGACTCTGTCTTGACACCGGCCCAGTTTGGGGGGAGGAGGAGAGGGTGCGGAAGATGCTGCGCAAGTCCACTACCACTATAAACTAATTCACGCACAAGCCACCGTGTCGGCTTCTACCTTGCTGTGGAGCACGTGGTGGCCATCCTCGGCAACGACGGTCGAACTGTCGTGTGTGTGATTCCATCCCCTTCTGAGTAGCTTCGGTCCCTAAGCTCAACTAAGTAGGTGAGGGGAAAACACGAAGCCTGGTCCGTGATATTTCGGAAGCCGAAAAATTACCTACGTCTCAATCAACAACCGTACCGGCACCAGTCTTCACGGGACGCTTGTAGAACGACAGTTGTCTTTGAAGAAGAAATCCTTTTGCCCGATCTACTTCTACGTGATCTGTCTGAGTTATCGGATATATACTCGGTTTTCTCCGTCAGATGTTTTAGTTACAACTCTTAGCAGTTCATTTAGGGTAACCCAGATGTTTGCTTAAGATGTAGCCGTGTTTTTCTGAAAATTATTCTTTGCACTCCCATGACTAAGTTGGTGGCCGATCTCATGGAATATTGACCAAATTTATGAAATGCCTATTCGATTGGAAAGGACTACTTAAGTGTGTATGTAATATTGATTACTTTTCGACAAAATGCCGTCATAATTCATGCATGCCAGAATGTTGGCATAAAAATTCACTCCTTGTCGACCGCCTGTAACGACTGCATCTGAAAAAAATGACAATTTCAGTAGTAAGAATTTTTCCATCGACTTTCAATCGCCTTGTGAATTTAAACATATTTTGTAGAAAAAACGAATAAAAATATTCTCTCTTGCACTCATTTAGTTACAGCTCATGTTCTCAAATTTTATGCTCGGAGGGGGTGTCTGTCGATTTTAGAAGTTTCATGGGGTTTTTAAGGCCGTGCAATGTCCGTCCAAACAACAATGTATCTGTCTGTTTAATAATTCTCTTCATGAAATATACAATATAGCCCAGCTCTGTTGCAAAATTTCATGGGCACTATATGATATCTACTTCATGACATAAAAAATGTTTTCCTCTCACGGAAAACATAAGGCCGGTGGACTAAAAACCCTAAATGCAAATGCTACGGCAGATCAAACTCAAAATTAATCTGGAATTGAAAAAACATTTTAAAACCGACAGATACCCTCTCGTCGAGCATAAAATTTACAGAAAACGTGATTTGCTGCCAAATTAATACAAGAAAGAACATTCTTATTTACGGTTTCTATAAAATATATTTGAATTTATAAGGGCGTTGGAAATCGATGGGAAAATAGGTCGGATGTGGTTATGTAGCCCCACATGAAGTAAACAAACCCCAATCACCTCTAATACGGAACAGGTAGGGCCGGGAAACGCACAGGCAACGAGGTCAAGTAGTTGTATTCAAAAGAAAAGCTGTCGGGAAGGCGTGGTTGTACTGTGAATGGTTGAGAAATAGTTTTGCTAACTCCTAACCCCAACCCTAATTCCTAACTATACCCCCTAGCCATAGCCCCTAGTTCTTAACCCCAACGCCAACAGTATTGTTCCATCGCGTGGTGCGGCCGAAAAGAGGTGCATTTGTAAGTTAACATCCTGACATGCCCGAATTATTGCGATATTGTTTCGTAAAATAATCAATATCGCATGCAAACTTCAGTAATCTTCCCTAATTGAATAGGTATTTCACAATTTCAGCCAAGATTTCACGAAATTGTCCATTAATTGTAAGTCATTCTCATCAAACGGTATGATTACACCGCAGACTATATACCGGCTATTGGCTAAAGTCAAACTCGAAGAAACAGAGTGGTGATGTGAGTAGGGCTCTTAGTCAAAGTTGTGTTTATTGATTTTAAGTGTTTAGACGCACTAAAACAAAACTCTCCGTGTTACTATAAACCCTTCGAGAATCTGAGCTGTTTTGCTCAAGGGAACTACGGAGGTCATCGTTCATTTTATCGTGTATGAAACGTGGAAGAATATGTCGGTGGACTTAGTCCGAAGTGTATGCTCTAAGTTACGGTCCGGGAAAAAGGTCGTCCTCGAAGTTAAAGGTTGACACACCAAGTATGTTCTAAATTCATACGTTTTCAACTTTTATTAGTGCATTTCCTCCTAAAAATTTTCCTTTTCTTTCAATTCCACCAAAGCTTTACGTACCATTAGGCCGACATTATATTGTCGTCTGGAGGTGTTTCGGAAACTCATTTCTCCGGTAAAGTTCGGTTTACTGACGATAATAGGGCAAGAAGTAAATTCAATTTTGTAATAATTTGTTAGATAGAACCGCATCGATTGCCACATTTACTGTGTGCTGAAAAACCAGCCTAAATTCCTAAAATGTGATATAAATACATGGCAGCGCATTTGACCCCAAACAGAAAAGTCGCGTGTTCAGATTGCGTCGGGGTTAAAAACGCTGTATAAATGGTTACCCATGACGTAGCTAACGGACTGTCGCTAGAACAAGGACAGGACGAGACAGTGTGCGGATAAAATTCCTGAAAATTACCAAACGAACCGCCCTAAATCATAACAAAGCTGCATGTCCCAATCATTCAGAGGTTGACTAAAACAAGCAGGGCAGATAGACGAAAGAGACCTCACAACTAAAGCCAATTAGTTGATCAGGGACTCAGGTATAATAGCGCCAGCCTCCTGAGTTCGTGACCAATTCTCTCAGCTACTTCAGCCGTTCCTGAAAGCTTAATGCATCGGTCAGTAGACCTTCATTTAAAGGATATGCATTCGCAAAGGTTCTACGAAGTGGGATTAGGCATTACTGGGATAAAAATTCCAGTAATGTCCCCTGGTCCGCGGCTTAGGGACAAAACTGCCAATCCCTGACCAATCCGCCAGAGGGGGATTCTGGTTGCTCCGACGGTTACTTCGGGGTTGGAGAGCGCGATTACCCCCTGCCAATTCTTGGATTGCTCCCCCATGTTTTTAATGCCTTCTAAACTTCACTGGTCGCCTAAGTTTACTTACATTTTGTTTTTTTTGATAAGCCTTCTCTCCAATCAGAAGTTTGCCAGAGTGTGCCAAGCGTCTGGCATCATACCGACAAGTTAGAGCTAAGTTTAAAAAAGCGGAGTCGTTGTTTTCGCTAGAACGAAAACATTTTTCTTGAATTTCCGCCACGAAGCCCTCCTGCAGTGCTGGTAAGTTAAGTTGTGGAAAAATAAGCAGTAATCTCGAAGTTTTTCTGGAAAGCATAGAGAGCGATGATGTTTAAAGGAGTTGAGAAGCTGTGGGGCAGATCGTGAAGCTCGAGCACGCTTTTGACTAGTTGAGTACATATAACTTCGAGTCGCGGAATCGATCCAGTTTCATATAGGATGAGTTCATAGATGTTTTGGCAGATTTTGAATAATTCATATTGACCAAATTGTGAAAAACTCGGCGCCTCGGTGGGATTCGAACCCACGCAGTAAGGGGGAAGGCTTTAGTACAGCCAACGCTCTAACCACTTGAGCTACGAGGCCCCCCCCCCGGACGACGCAAGTTTAATCACATTTGGGTCAAGTTACCCGCCCAACCTACTGCAACGTCTGGAATCCACCCAATCTGTTACAGTAAGTTGACTGCCCAGCCAGGATTCCCTAAATAATTCACCTAGAATCCACCAGATGACTACCAGACTTGCGTAATTCATCGATGTTTTGGCAGATTTTGAATAATTCAT